CTCTCTCTCTAGTTCTCTCTATCTCTATCATCTCTCTCTCTCTACTCTAGCTCTCTCTCTAGTTCTCTCTAGCTCCATCCTCTCTATGTCACTTCTAGCTCTCTCTCTACCTCTTTCTATCTCTATCATCTCTATCTTTACTCTAGCTCTCTCTATCTCTAGCTCTACTCTAGCTCTCTCTCTAGCTCTGGCTCTAGCTCTCTATTCTAGCTCTCTCCCTAGCTCTACTCTAGCTTCCCCTATCTCTGTCTCTATCCTGTCATCTCTACTCTAGCTTTATCTCTATCTCTACCATCTCTGTGTCTAGCTCTACTCTAGCTCTCTCTGTCTCTATCAATCTATCTTGATAGATGGTGGCGTAGGTGCTGGCAACATGAATTGGTGACCCTGATGGTGATGTAATGATAGTGATGGTGACACAGATGGTGGTGACACTGTCATGACCATCATAGCCACGTCACCATCACCTCTGGGGCCATCTCAGTGTGTCATCTGTGGTGGTGACCCAGGTGACACTGGTGTGGCACTGGTGGTAATGGTGAAGTGAGGAGGACACTGGCAGTTGTGGTGACACTAGTGATGGTGACAGTAATGGTCATGCTAGTGATGGTGACACTGGCACTGAGGGTGGCATGGGTGGTGGGCACAGGCTGTGGTGGTACAGATGGTGATGGTGACATAGGGGATGGCCACATGTGGCGGTGACAATGAAGCTGGCTGCTGGTGGTGGTGTTGACAGCAATGGCGATGTGACACTGGCAGTGACAATCTGGTAACAGTGTGACACTGGTGGTGGTGGCCCCTAAGCAATAGTAGACACAAACAGTGGGAATCTTGCCCACCTTTCTCTCTGGAGAGGGGAGAGGGCTGCATTTGCATATCCATAAGGGCTGGCATATGCAAGGGGTAAAAATGGAAGCTTAGCAGTGCCACCTTGTCTCCTAGTGAAGGCGGGCTCAGGCTGGGGGAGGGGGAGCGGCTGCCAGGACAGTCTGCAGCGAACGTGCTCTGCAGCTGTGCCTGGTGGAGGCCGTCTGCTGCCAGTCCCACCCCAGGAGTGGGCCTGCCTGTCTGCGTGAACTGGCAGCTCTCTGAGCCCAGGGTGGTCCCTAGACGTCTTCCCCAAGCAGAAGCACAGGGCATATGGCTGTGCCGATTGTCCGGCAGCCTGCTGAGCTGGGTTGGAGTCTTCTGGTGGGAACGGAAGGGATGAGGGGAGAGGCCACATACAAGGTGCTTAAGTCCCCTGCATCTGGAGACTGAGTTTATGAGCCTCAGGCTCCTCATCTCTACAATGGGGAGGGAGGCTAGTCGTACCGGAGTCTTAGGGTCCCGTGTGTCCCAGCTCCCTCGGAGCTGACAATCGTCTCCTTACTGGGTTGGGGGTGAGCGTCCCACCCGGTAGCAGCTGTCTCCTGGCAGTCTGGTGGTCTGGCTGGCCCCAGGACCCCTTCCCTGCAGATGCCAGGCAAGAGGCAGCTTTCAGCCCCGGCCCTGACTGACACCCCTGCTTTTCTCTTGACAGGATTGACAAGACCATGCTGGCGAGTCTGAAGGTCAAGTAAGTCGCCCCTTCCTGTTTGGTAGAAGCCAGGCACGATGCGTGCAGGATCACCACTGGGGCCCTGTTTCCCTCAGCTGTGAGGACAGCAGTGGTGTTGCCATGCTGGCCACGTTCTCCCTCTGAGCCCGGGGGCTTCCGCCTGGGAGAGGGCTGGGCCAGAGGGCTCTTGATGCTAGCAGAGGGGGAGGCTGTTGTGGAAGCAGCAGGTACTGGGGTAGTGAGAATGTGCGGGGTGGATGTGTTTCGGGCCACAGACTCATGGGTGTAAGAAAGGTAACTGGCTGCTATCGTCTTGCTTTTTATTTAAAGCCTCCATCCCATCTGCCTGAAAAGTTCTGCCACATAGTTGTAGAACCTGACAAAACGTTCTGGAATCAGGTTGTGTGTGTGTATGTGTGTTTAGCTGGCCCCTGTGGCCCTGGGGCTCTCTGAGGCCCCCAGGCCAGTCTCAGGGTCTGGGAAAGAGCTCATGATTTTGGCGGTCTCAGTGGTCCATGTCTGCCCTCGTCCAAGGAGAGACTCCTCTCTCCTAAAACCCCTGGACCTGTCTTGCTCGCTGGCATGTTTCCTCCCTAATCATTCCACCCGTACCCTGATCCTGTCCCCCACTGGAGAAGTAGCGCTAGTCTGTTTCGCTCCTTGCCCGATCTAGAAAGTTCAGTGTCTTGCTATGCCACAGCCCGTTTGGACTTGGGACTCCCCCCACGGTCCCCCCCATCCCACCCACAGACACATGCCTCTCCTGGTTCCCTTTCTTTTTGAAAAAACAAACACATCTTTATCACATTTTCCTTTTTGAAAAACACTTTTTATCGGCACCCAATCCACACTCTATACAATTCCATTGTTCGATCCTTCAGTCCTGTCAAGAAGAATTGTCCAATCAGTTTTAGAACTCCCCCCACCAGCCGTGGTTGCCTCACCTTTACAATGAGTTGTGTAATCACAATCAGTTCTAGGACTCCCTCCCCGCTCGCTCTCCTGGGCTTCCTGCTTTAGGCAAGTGACATTGTCATTGTGGGGCAGAAAACAGAGTCGGGGGCCCCCATGTTCCTGGGCCCAGTCTCTGCCTCCGGCTTTCTAGCCTACCATCTGGAAAACCCACGTGTTGACCGACCAACCCCTGATTTAAATGGAAGGGCTTTTCCGAGCCTGGGTTAGGTCCTTGGCTTTGGCTCAGGACCATGGCCACATCTCATTCCTCTAGCTTTGTTGACCGTGGATGACGAGACTCCTTGAGGTACCCCAAAGACACGGCAGAGCCCTCAGGGACTGGCCTCTCCCCGTCAGCTCCCCTCACATACTTAAACATCTGCCGAGAGTTGCTGGGCTTTGTCCACGTCAGGGCGGCTCTGGCGTTCTAGGGACACAGGGCTGAATCAACTCAGTCCACCTCTCCTGGCTGGGCTCAGGGTGGGTGGAAGCAAAAAGGGCGAGGAAGACCCAGCTCTGCTTACAGCCCCATTTCAGGTCTCGCCAGGTGGGTCTGGGGGAGGACCCTTGTCACAGCTGCCAGGTCTGGACTCATTGATTCCTCCAGGACGGACCCCCCTGGGCTTGAGGACTGAGTTGGTGGGTGCTGGTGTCTGTGTGCAGGTAGGCTTGTGTGTGTGCCCGCCTGAACAGTGGACATGAGCTCTGTGGGTCTCTGGGAGTGCCGTGCGATGCCTTTTTTGGCTTTGGTGAGTTCCTATGGTAACACGAACGAACACGTCTGTTTTAGGATCTGGAGTTGCGGGGCGTGAGTGGCTACAGGGAGAAGCAGGTGGGTGCTTAGCCGGCAAATGGGCTGTGGCCTGATTTCATTGCCAGGCCCTGGGGACAAACCTGGAGGTGCCATTTGCCAGACAGCCAGGCCTGAAAATTCCAGGGACCAGAATATTCCTGGCCCTCACCCCAGACAGTCCCTACCATGCCCAGGAAGCTTTGGTGAGCCTCTGCTCGGGTTTCTTGATGGACTTCACTTTCTGGGTCTGGTGGGTGGCTGGTGGCAGGTGGGTAAGCAGGGAGCTGGGTGGGCAGCCCTGGCCAGCAGGTGCTGGGACGGGGCGCTTCTGAGGTGGGTGTGGGACAGCAGCAGGAGGGACTTTGCTGTTCCAGAGCCCTGAGGGCTGGTGGGCCTGAGTGGTCCTGGGGCCAGGGAGCTGTGTTAATGTGTAGGGCCAGGGCAGAGATGCCTGAGAATTGTATGGGATAGCCTCTGGCCCTCCAGCCATCCCTGGGGACACCCTCCACCCCAGCTAACTCCCCGAGGAGTCCTAGAGGACCCCAGGTCTCTGGACGGGAAGGCAGTGTTCCCTGGAGGATGCGGTCAGAGGAACCTGCTCATCAGGGACATGGGTTGGAGAAGAATTTTTTTCTCTGGATGAGAGGGAAGGTGGCTGTCCCCTTCCTGACCTGTGCTTCGTGCCCACACGTGGGCTCCTCTGAGCATGTCCTGACAGATGAGGGCTCAGGTGTCCCTCCCCTTTGCGCCTGGCATGGTTGGCTGACTGGGAGTGGGCCAGGCCCTTTCTTTTCCTGCTGGCTTTCTGGGCTCAGTGCAGGAGGTGGAGGACGGAGCTGTCAGGAGGCCATCAGTGGCTCTGGGGGCTTGTTCTCAGAGCCTCTGCGGCGTGCTCCCTCTCCCTCTGTGGGACACCTGGGTGAGGGTGAGGTAGGAGCCAGGGGGGCAGGGATGTTGGGTCTGCTCTAGGTTCCTGGGAGGGACAAGAGGACAAGGAAGTGGATGCTCTGTGCTTTCTCCCGACCTCTAAAGCAGGGGCCGGCCAACTCTTGAGCCGGAAGAATCAATCCTGCCCTCATCACACTTTACAGATCATTCAACCCACTCGCTGGCAGCTTTCCCAGGGAGAGGGGAGCCTCTGGATCTTTGGAGCACTTGATCTTGGGGCCAAGAAATTGAGTTAGCCATTGCGTGAGCCCCCTGTGTCCCTTAGTCAAGTCACTTAGCCTCAGCTTGGTCACCCCTAGTGATGAGGAGCCGGTTGCCAAAGATTTCTGACCTAGTGAAACACAGCGCTGGTTGTGCAATGCTGGCTCTTCAGTTCACCTGGAATCGGTCTGGGACACCTGCAGTGTGGTGTCCCAGAAAGCACTGCCTCTCGGTGTCTTTCCCAAACCCTGCGCCTTCCCACCCTCCCTAGTCCCAGGCTCCTGAACAAGCCAACTTCTTTTCTCCTGTGAGTCCCTCAGTTATTAGAAGGTGGGTCTTGGGCCCTGAGTCTACTCTAGGCTGCTCATCCCACCCCTTTGGCTGTGTTGGGGAGTCTTCATTGCCTGGGCTGGCCTTTAATGCAAGGGCTTAGGTTTCCCGGGCTCCATCTCAAAGGTAGGCTAGAGAGGTTAGCCTGGGGGAGTCCTATGAACAAAGAAAGGGACCCTAGATTCAAAAAACAACCTCTGTATTTTTCAGGTGGGTCCACCGAGGCCCCCCAAAGGGAGTGTCTTTAATTTGAGCCAGCACTGTGCAGAGGCGGTGGGGTGCAGCTGGTGGTCTCTCCTCTGGCTTCTCCGTCAGCTCCCCCATCTTCATGGCTTTCTGATCAAAGACCGCATCTCTTCCTTCTGAAGGCAGACTGGGCGTCGCCCCGGGGATGGAGGCATGGGCACGAAGGCAGACGCACGCCCTCGGGGCGCTGCAGGTGTTGGGGTGGGGGGCACTCCATCAGATCCAAGAGAAGCTGGGACTTGGGATTTTTTTAGGGAAAATCTTGACAGTGAATCCAAACATTCAAAAAGCCAACTAGCCCAACAAACTAAGTCTGAAAAACTGAAAGATTACCCTATCATGGGAGTTGGGCCATCTCTGCTCCAGATGACGGGCCTCTCTGAGATTTCAGGTCCCTGGGAGCTATGTCCTAATGCCCTGCCCCCAGGCCATCCAACTCTCCCGCCTCCCCCGGCAATGGCATCAGCTGCTGGCTGGTTATTTCCGGCTGGGTCCCTGGACCAGACTCATTCCCAATTAACCTTTCTCCCGTCTGCATCCTGCTCTTTGCTCCCTCTACTTGGGTTTCGAAGCCTCTGAGTCATAGGTTTGGTCCTCGCCTGCCCTCCTCCCTGCTCCTCCGCCTTCTGGTTCAGGCCCCTTATCTCCTGCCCAGACGGTGACAAAAGCTCCTTAATTAACCTCCTCCTCCGTCCCCGACAGCTCTGACTAATTCATCATCCCCAAAGCCGACTCCAGGCCTGCATCCCTGCTCCAAAGGCATCCGGCGGTGCTGATGGCAGGACTCATTGGAGCTGTGTCTGCGCAGGCTCCTTCCCAGAACCTCAGCTGCCTCCGACCCTACCCCTAGCCCGGTGGGGGCTGGCCAGGTGCTTGGTTGTGTTCTCCCCGTGTGACTTGTCTGGCTGCCATGAACAGTCTCTAACTGCCTTTGGATTCACAGCAGATCCCTTGATATCCCCCATCTCTTCCTCCCCACCGCAGTGATTCTCACACTCTGTTGCCCAGGACAACCACCTGGGGGCTTAAACAAATCTCAGTCACCAAGATGCCAACTCTTTGAATGTTTGGCTGTGGGGAGCCAGGCATCAGGACTTCTTAAGGATCCTCCGGGCAATTCCAGTGTGCAGTACAATGTGTGGGGTGGGCACTACCCGAGAGAGAAGTCCCTAGGTGGCCTAAATGTTCTGATCTTAACTATGAACCTGAAGGTTGGCCATTTGAGCCCACTGGGGCTGTGGGCAAAAGGCCTGGCCCCTGTCCCTGTACAGATTGCAGCCGAGGTAACCAGTGGTGCTCACTTCTACTCTCCTGGGGTCGCTGACTGGGCTGGGTGTTCAAGTGGACTCTCGGTGTCAGTCACCCCAAGCTAAGATTGTGTACTTTCAGCACAATTAGTAATCTGGGTTTTGTAGGATGCTTAGCAGAATCTATAGCTTCTACCTGCTAGATGCAAGCAAACCCACTCTCCCAGACATGGTCATCAAATATGTCTCTAGGCATTGCTGAATTTCCGGTGACAGGGGTTATACAGTCCCTTCTCACT